AAAAAATGAAGAATGTTCTGTGTTGCTTTGCATGTAAGTAATAGATTGAAATGCATCTTATTAACATTTCTGTTAGTGTGCAAGACAATTCCCTTCAAATTTCTTGAAGATGTGCTACCGCATGGGAATATGTTTGAACAGAAACATGTTCCATGATGCCATCATAAACCTGAACTAAAAAGATGCATTCTGATCATTAACCCTATTCACCCATAAAGACACATTTGGACTCTTCCAATTCAAAGGTTGGAATAGTTCATTATGAAATTTCGGGGGTGAATGAGTTGATTAAAGGTTTTAAATATTACCTGAAAACAGAAGTGTATTTGTACCTTAGTCGAACCTCTAAATATTGCTTTAAATGCAACATTGATTGTGTTTATTGGATCAACATCTGTTTTCTTTAACAAGAAAACTGAAATTTGTTTGAGAAGGAAAGGAAAAAATTAGCCGAAAATAGTTTTTGAAGTAAAAATGTGAACAAGAGGAGGTTTGAATCAATATATCTTAATTTTACTATTTTAAGATATATGTTCCAAATAAAACCAAAAAATTATAAAAAAAAAAGTGCTTCCAATGGTCTTATTTGGCAAAAGTATTAGTGTCAAATTATATAGTTTAACGCGCCTTTCAACTCTAGGTAACTTTAAATGACTTCTTCTGATTAACCATAAGGCCTAGAATGTTGATATCTGGTCAGTAGCATGCTGTGATCAAGGGCTACCTAGTTTGTTAAAGTGAATGACTTATATTCAAGGTCATACGTGCACAGGGGTCAAATTTGTTTATAATCTTTATACCACTTTTCCTGAATAACCATGAGGCCCAGGATGTTGATATTTAGCCAGTAGCATGCCTGGACAAAGAGCTATCGAGTTTATTCAATTGAATGACCTTGACCCACATTCAAGGTCACATTTGGTCAAATATGTATAAACATTAAAATGACCTAATTTCAATAAACAAAGGATTAATTAAGGTGGTGATATTTTGCAAGTTGCATCCTGAGATGAAAATTTATTCTACTTAATGACCTTGTTTGACTTTCAAGGTCACAAGTGTGAAATGTTTTAAACCTTAAAACAGGTTCTGTTGAATGACTTTCATTCATAAATACTGATATTTTGCCTGTAGCTTTATTTTAGATCACTTCTAAGGTTACAAGTGTGAGATTAATACCAGGTGAGCGATAGAGGAAATAATTATGCACTGTGCTGTGAAAGCTGTTTTAGTTTGGTAGATTCATGTAGTGAAACTGCAATACAAATATAAATTGGTCCATATGAATGTGAATATATAATCATGTTGTACACAGATTGTATTTGAAGCTCTTCAATACTTGTGTGTTATAAAAATAATTGTTAAGGATCCCTGAACCGCTGTTAAATCCTGGACCCCTTTCGCGTAACTGGTCCCCTTGGTTTGTCTGTTTTTAGCTCACCTGGCCCAAAGGGCCATGTGAGCTTATGCCGCACTGCGGCGTCCGTCGTTTGTAGTCTGTCGTCCGTTGTCCGTCGTCTGTCGTCCGTCCGTCAACTTTTTCTTTTGAACGACTTCTTCTGAAGAACTGTAGGACCTAGGGTCATGATATTTGGTCAGTAGGCACCTGGGATGGAGTGCTATAAAGTTTCCTCATAAAAATGACCTTGACCTACTTTCAAGGTCACAGCGGTTAAATATGTTAAAAGTTTCAAACAACAATATTCTAAGAACCATTTGAACTAGATTTATGATACTTGGGTATTTTATGTGTGTAAACCAGCAGTGCAAATATTTTTTTCAGTTACAGTTATGAGGTCAAAGGTCAACTTTAAGTGCTAGTTTGGGGTCAAATGTCAACTTTGGTTAAAAGCTTTAACAGGCTTCTTCTCAAGTTCCATAAGGCCCAGGGTCATGATATTTGGTCAGTAAGTACCTGGAATGTGGTGCTATAAAGTTTCCTTATTAAAAAGACCTAGACCTGCTTTGAAGGTCACAGGGGTCAAATATGTTAAAAATTTCAAACAACAATATCCTAAGAACCATTTGAACTAGAGTCATGATACTTGGGTATGTTATGTAGACCAGCAGTTCAAATATTTTTCTCAGTTACAGTTATGAGGTCAAAGGTGAACTATAAATGCTAGTCAGGGGTCAAATGTCAACTTTGGTTAAAAGCCTTAACAATCTCCTTCTCAAGTTCCATTAGGCCCAGGGTCATGATGTTTAGCCAGTAGGTACCTGGGATGGAGTGCTATAAAGTTTCCTCATTAAAATTACCTTGACCTACTTTCAAGGTCACAGGGGTCAAATATGTTAAACACTTCAAACGACAATATCCTAAGAACCATTTGGACTAGTCATGGTACTTAGGTTTGTTATGTAGACCAGCTGTGTGAATTGTTTTTTTCATTACAGTAATGAGGTCAAAGGTCAACTTCAAGTGCAAATCGGGATTCAAATGTCAACTTTGGTTAAAAGCTTTAAAATTAAAATTTCAAACAACAATATCTTCAGAACCGTCAGAACCGTTTAAGAGATGTTAAAATGTCTTATGTTCTAGTTACCAAATGGTCTTAAGTTACCTATATGTCAGTTGCATGTAACAAAAGAAACAGGTGAGCGATACAGGCCCTCTCGGCCTCTTGTTAAATGTAACATTTTCAGGTATGAATCCTGGCGGACATGTTAATGTTTATGCAGGCCTTGCAAGGCTTTGTCAAGGCTCGCCTGAAAGCAGCATCAGATTACTGGGTCCGACCTTATTTCATAAACAAACTTCATACCGTTTGGATTGCGATAAATGAATGCGACCCTTGGCCTTCAATCGTTATACTGTCCCTCTTACTAACTAAATTACAAACATACCTGGACAACAGTATGTAGTACACTGGAGCTTCCACTAGTCCCATTTCAGTTACAGCCAAACCCATATTAAGGGGAGGTTACTCTGTGTACAGAAAACAAAGTGGAATTCTCCAGTGTTTTGCCTGTAGTGGCACAGTGATCCTTAACTGTACTTTAATGTTAAAGCACATTTAATTCAATGGAAAGAAGTTTTGCCAAAACCCAGCTGGACTCCCGTGTATAATGCATAATTAAATTACTGGTTCTTCAACATTTTAGATGAAGTCCGATTATAATTTCAAAACTTATAATAATGTGTTTAGTATTGGACCTTCATGATTAAAAGCAAAAATCTGCAGGGAGCTAGAATGTTGCAAATTTTGAATAAATTGTTTCTCATACATCATTCATAAGATTTTATTTGCAATTACTGAGGACATGATTCCCTGATGGTCAGACCTTGTAATTCTTTGCTATGGTGGGACATTGTTCGCCAGGTCATTGGTGATACTGCTAGACAAGCCTGTGGTGAAAACTTGAGTTCAGACGGCCATGAGTAAGAAGACTGCCTGTTGTGGTCTATGTATAATAAAGGAAATAAATGGTTTTCAGGTGAAATCCCAGTTTCACTGTTCTGGAGAATTTGTCTGAAGTAATCTTGAAAAAACCCCATAATTTACAATGTTCAATGGTGTAATTTCATCGCTATGGAGACCAAACACGGATCGACAATGAACAGACTAATTACAGGCTTTCTTCCATGAAATGTTTTTAAAACCACAAAGAAACACTCGTAAAGATTAATCCCATTTTGTAAGTAAGCAATTGTTAATTGTTTGCTATTTATAGCAGATGATGCAGTGTTTTGTGGAGATTGATTAACTTGGCAAGACTTATACGGGGACAAATTATATATGGTAAAAACTACTTCATCTTGAATTCCTTGTTATGAATTACTCTTTCATCAACTTTCTATTAAAATAAGAAACTGAACATTTATTGAAAAGATAGCCATATATCAGAGTAAAATATCAAAGAAGTCTAGTCTAGTGTAAAGTATGGTATTGTATACTTTACTTTAGTGGTTGATCAAATAATGGATAACAAGGCCCTGTGCTCCACTGGTAGATAAGAAGGCCCTGTGCTCCACTGGTAGATGAGAAAGCCCTGTGATCCACTGGTAGATACAAGGCCCTGTGCTCCGCTGGTAAATGACAAGGCCCTGTGCTCCACTGGTAGATGAGAAGGTCATGTGCTCCATTGGTAGCTTACAAGTCCCTGTGCTCCACTGGTAGATGAGAAGGTCTTGTGCTACACTGGTAGCTTACAAGTCCCTGTGCTCCACTGGTAGATGAGAAGGCCTTGTGCTCCACTGGTAGATGACATGGGCCTGTGTTCCACTGGTAGATGAGAAGGCTTTGTGCTCCACTGGTAGATGACATGGGCCTGCACTCCACTGGTAGATACAAGGCCCTGTGGACCACTGTTAGATGATAAGGCCATGTGGTCCACTGGTAGATAAGAAGGCCCTGTGCTCCTCTGGTAGATACAAGGCACTGTGCTCCACTGGTAGATGAAAAGTCTCTGTGCTCCATTGGTAGCTTACAAGTCCCTGTGCTCCATTGGTAGATGAAAAGGCCTTGTGCTCCACTGGTAGATGATATGGGCCTGCACTCCACTGGTAGATGACAAGGGCCTGCACTCCACTGGTAGATGACAAGGGCCTGCACTCCACTGGTAGATACAAGGCCCTGTGGTCCACTGGTAGATACAAGGCCCTGTGCTCCACTGGTAGATACAAGGCCCTGTGGTCCACTGGTAGATGAGAAGGCCCTGTGCTCCACTGGTAAATACAAGGCCCTGTGCTCCACTGGTAGATGATAAGGCCCTTTGGTCCACTGGTAGATGAGTAGGCCCAATGCTCCATTGGTAGCTTACAAGGCCCTTTGCTCCACTGGTAGATTTTAAGGCCCTGTGCTCCACTTGTAGATGACAAGTCTCTGTACTCAACTGTTAGTCCCTGTGCTCCACTGGTAGATGAGAAGGCCATGTGTTTTACTGGTAGATTTCAAGGCCTTGTGCTGCACTGGTAGATGACAAGGCACTGTGCTTCATTGTGGTAGCTTACAAGGCCCTATGCTCCAGTGGCTGATGACATGGTCCTAGCCGTGCTCTGTGAGATACTGCTCCACTGGCTACAGAGGCTGGGTACCAGGTAGATTGTCCTCAGTAGCCCACACTCACACAGCAGCCCATGTCTCCTGCAGCACCACAGATACAGCTGTGCTCTCAGGTTGGGGCAGTCATGGTATTGATAAAATACTGATACACTTAGGATATATAATAAACAGAGAAGGTACACGGAATTAGTTCAATTCTCCAAGGTAAGTGAACAAAAGTTACCTATGCATGATATATATTTGACTCTGTCAGGAATGGGTATCACACTGCAAATGGTACCAAATTATAACCAGAATGCAGATGAGCTTGAATTAGAACAGAAATATTCGAATTGTAACAGTGACATTGATAAGGGTTTTCAATGCTTCATGTTATTTTCCTTCGTAAGAGGATAAAAATTGCTGACATTCATTTGTTAAGTATTATCCTTGGACACATTGTAAACAAAGATTGTAAACAAAGATTGTAAACAAAGATTCCGATATCAGTAATGTCCTGGACTAACTGAATTAACATCAGCTATTGTTCTTGCATGTATTGTAATTATGCATATTGGTATTCTACAAATGAATACATGACTTGTGACCTTATAAATTTGTAAAATTGGAGTATGTGTCTTGTGTGTATTGTATTGTGTATAAATGTTAGACAGTAGATATGAGTCTTGTGTGTATTGTATTGTGTGTAAGTGTTTGACAGTAGATATGAGTTGTGTGTGTATTGTATTGTAGGTGTGTGTCAGTGTTTGATAGTAAATTGTGTCTTGTGTGTATTGTATTGTGTGTAAGTGTTTGACAGTAGATATGTGTCTTGTGTGAATTGTAGGTGTGTTAATGTTTGACAGTAAATATGTGTCTTGTGTGTATTGTATTGTGTGTTATTGTTTGACAGTAAATATGTGTCTTGTGTGTATTGAATTGTGTGTAAGTGTTTGACAGTAGATATGAGTTGTGTGTGTATTGTAATGTAGGTGTGTGTCAGTGTTTGATAGTAAATTGTGTCTTGTGTGGATTGTATTGTGTGTAAGTGTTTGACAGAAGATATGAGTCTTGTGTGTATTGAATTGTGTGTAACTGTTTGACTTTAGATAGGAGTCTTGTGTGTATTGAATTGTGTGTAAGTGTTTGACAGTAGATATGAGTCTTGTGTGTATTGTAATGTGTGCTAGTGTTTGACAGTATATATGTGTCTTGTGTGTATTGTATTGTGTAAGTGTTTGGCAGTAGATATGTGTCTTGTGTGTATTGTATTGTGTGTTATTGTTTGACAGTAAATATGTGTCTTGTGTGTACTGTAGGTGTGTGTTAGTGTTTGACAGTAAATATGTGTCTTGTGTGTATTGTATTGTGTGTTATTGTTTGACAGTAAATATGTGTCTTGTGTGTATTGTATTGTGTGTTAGTGTTTGACAGTAAATATGTGTCTTGTGTGTATTGTATTGTGTGTTAGTGTTTGACAGTAAATATGTGTCTTGTGTGTATTGTATTGTGTGTTAGTGTTTGACAGTAAATATGTGTCTTGTGTGTATTGTATTGTGTGTTAGTGTTTGACAGTAAATATGTGTCTTGTGTGTATTGTATTGTGTGTTAGTGTTTGACAGTAAATATGTGTCTTGTGTGTATTGTATTGTGTGTTAGTGTTTGACAGTAAATATGTGTCTTGTGTGTATTGTATTGTGTGTAAGTGTTTGACAGTAAATATGTGTCTTGTGTGTATTGTATTGTGTGTTAGTGTTTGACAGTAAATATGTGTCTTGTGTGTATTGTATTGTGTGTAAGTGTTTGACAGTAAATATGTGTCTTGTGTGTATTGTATTGTGTGTTAGTGTTTGACAGTAAATATGTGTCTTGTGTGTATTGTATTGTGTGTAAGTGTTTGACAGTAAATATGTGTCTTGTGTGTATTGTATTGTGTGTTAGTGTTTGACAGTAAATATGTGTCTTGTGTGTATTGTATTGTGTGTAAGTGTTTGACAGTAAATATGTGTCTTGTGTGTATTGTATTGTGTGTTAGTGTTTGACAGTAAATATGTGTCTTGTGTGTATTGTATTGTGTGTAAGTGTTTGACAGTAAATATGTGTCTTGTGTGTATTGTATTGTGTGTTAGTGTTTGACAGTAAATATGTGTCTTGTGTGTATTGTATTGTGTGTAAGTGTTTGACAGTAAATATGTGTCTTGTGTGTATTGTATTGTGTGTTAGTGTTTGACAGTAAATATGTGTCTTGTGTGTATTGTATTGTGTGTAAGTGTTTGACAGTAAATATGTGTCTTGTGTGTATTGTATTGTGTGTTAGTGTTTGACAGTAAATATGTGTCTTGTGTGTATTGTATTGTGTGTTAGTGTTTGACAGTAAATATGTGTCTTGTGTGTATTGTATTGTGTGTTAGTGTTTGACAGTAAATATGTGTCTTGTGTGTATTGTATTGTGTGTTAGTGTTTGACAGTAAATATGTGTCTTGTGTGTATTGTATTGTGTGTTAGTGTTTGACAGTAAATATGTGTCTTGTGTGTATTGTATTGTGTGTTAGTGTTTGACAGTAAATATGTGTCTTGTGTGTATTGTATTGTGTGTTAGTGTTTGACAGTAAATATGTGTCTTGTGTGTATTGTATTGTGTGTTAGTGTTTGACAGTAAATATGTGTCTTGTGTGTATTGTATTGTGTGTTAGTGTTTGACAGTAAATATGTGTCTTGTGTGTATTGTATTGTGTGTTAGTGTTTGACAGTAAATATGTGTCTTGTGTGTATTGTATTGTGTGTTAGTGTTTGACAGTAAATATGTGTCTTGTGTGTATTGTATTGTGTGTTAGTGTTTGACAGTAAATATGTGTCTTGTGTGTATTGTATTGTGTGTTAGTGTTTGACAGTAAATATGTGTCTTGTGTGTATTGTATTGTGTGTTAGTGTTTGACAGTAAATATGTGTCTTGTGTGTATTGTATTGTGTGTTAGTGTTTGACAGTAAATATGTGTCTTGTGTGTATTGTATTGTGTGTTAGTGTTTGACAGTAAATATGTGTCTTGTGTGTATTGTATTGTGTGTTAGTGTTTGACAGTAAATATGTGTCTTGTGTGTATTGTATTGTGTGTTAGTGTTTGACAGTAAATATGTGTCTTGTGTGTATTGTATTGTGTGTTAGTGTTTGACAGTAAATATGTGTCTTGTGTGTATTGTATTGTGTGTTAGTGTTTGACAGTAAATATGTGTCTTGTGTGTATTGTATTGTGTGTTAGTGTTTGACAGTAAATATGTGTCTTGTGTGTATTGTATTGTGTGTTAGTGTTTGACAGTAAATATGTGTCTTGTGTGTATTGTATTGTGTGTTAGTGTTTGACAGTAAATATGTGTCTTGTGTGTATTGTATTGTGTGTTAGTGTTTGACAGTAAATATGTGTCTTGTGTGTATTGTATTGTGTGTAAGTGTTTGACAGTAAATATGTGTCTTGTGTGTATTGTATTGTGTGTAAGTGTTTGACAGTAGATATGAGTCTTGTGTGTATTGTATTGTGTAAGTGTTTGACAGTAAATATGTCTTGTGTGAATTGTAGGTGTGTTAATGTTTGACAGTTAATGTGTCATGTGTGTATTGTATTGTATGTTAGTGTTTGACAGTAAATATGTGTCATGTGTGTATATTGAATAGTGTGTAAGTGTTTGACAGTAAATATGTGTCTTGTGTGAATTGTAGGTGTGTTAATGTTTGACAGAAAATATGAGTCATGTGTGTATTGTATTGTGTGTTAGTGTTTGACAGTAAATATGTGTCTTGTGTGTATTGTATTGTGTAAGTGTTTGACAGTAAATATGTGTCTTGTGTGTATTTTAGTTGTGTTTCAGTGGTTGACAGTAAATATGTGTCTTGTGTGTATTTTAGTTGTGTTTCAGTGTTTGGCACTAAATATGTGTCTTGTGTGTATTTTAGTTGTGTTTCAGTGTTTGACAGTAAATATGTGTCTTGATTAATTTTCAATGATATCTGTTGAGGTTTGAAGGTGCAAGTTTGCCATGTGTGTATGTTTAAGTCTGTAATAATGTTTAATGTTTAAATGTGCTAAATGTTATGTTTATTGAAAGTGTGTGATAATGTTTGACAATGTATGTGTGGGGAATGTATTGTAAGTGTGAAGTGGACCGTGGGAAAGTAATAAACAAGCCTTTTACCTCGTTCACGGTCTATTAGACTTTGTGATGGATTCCACTGTTACTTGGCACAACCTGATCTACGGTTCCATCAATCTTTCATATTTGTAATTCTGATATACAATACATGTGGCAGGCTAGTTAGATTTGTTAGATAAAGAATGGTTTTAATTAAAGTTTTTTATTCATGTGAGGTTGTTGGCAGACAGCTTCGGAGTGTATTAGTCACATATCACATAGATGGACAATGGCGCTAGTATCATTCACATTAAATTATCTTTCCAGTCAAATGTTTACATTGACGGAGTTGATGTTATTGAACTATTGATTTTAATGAACTGATATTGAGCTGTATCAATGGATTATAATAACTTGCCATTCTATTGAAATTTTCATGAAGGGGAATTCCACGTGCACAAAATTAAAAACACAAATAAAATATTTTTATTTGTGTTTTTATATATATATATATATATATATAATCCCTAGGGACCAAATGACTCTTTTCATTGACATATTTTGAGTTGTTCTTTCAGCGGAAATCATTAGATCTTAGAATTTAGGGATATTTTAGCAGATTCACTGGTAAGAAATATTAAATCCAAAATCGGGAGTCTCCCTCCTAAATTCGGAGAGTTGAAAAGTATGTCAATGTACATATAGCTCTAGATCTGTCACCATTAACTATTATTGACACCTGAAGAAACATTTTAACTCTTCCAACTCAAATGTTGGAATAGTTCATTATGAAATTTAAGGGGAGAAATTAATGAGTTAACTCCTTTCATCATTACCTAAAAGTGCTGATTTCATAATAATGTTTAGTTTCCGTTTATATTATCAGTAATAAATATTTAAATAATTCCAAACATTTCTGTTTAGATTGGCAGAGCCAAAACCTCGTTATTTGTTCACTAAAACTGATGGGTGGAAAAAAACTTGCAAACTGTTTATAACAAATTGAATTATTGATCTTGTTCATGATAATGACTTAAAATGTTAGGAAAAAATAAAGAAAAAATAAAATCTTCTGACCATGATCTACCTACAGCGTACCTGCA